GTTGACAGGTTTTTCAGTTGCTAAAGTTCAGAAACGCTGGTTTATATGACTATTCATCTTATGACAGCAACTCTGGGTGGCTTACAGAAAATTAAAACTTAGCACACACACACACACACACACATTCACACATACATAGTCAAGGACAATAATTATTACACATAATCTCAATCTCTGGGGCTCCATTAACCTCTTTGTCCCAGGAAAACAAGTGTGTTTTTAAGGCTTTTTGAGAAAGCAAAATCAGCGCTAGCTGGTTCCCAGGGGCTGGTATTGAAGAGGTCAGTTCAGAGTCAGGCAGCTGTCAGGGGCCTGGTGCTCCAGAGGGCAGATACTACAACAGAAAACACACACTTTCTAGGTCCTGCCAGATGAGTTTGGGAAGTTATGTGGTGACTTTGGTCAAAGAAAAATGCCTGGCCCAGTCTAGTCCCTGTGCTATTATTATGGGGATAAAACAAACCAAACTGACCCGCCCATATAAGCTGTCTTAAGCTTGGGAAGAAAAGGCATGATATAACTCCAATAAATACTTCCCAAAAGGCACTTTTTATCTCAGCCTTTTGTTTAACTATGTAGCAACACTTAAATGACACAACAAATCTGAAAAATTGAAGCAAGGTTAGACATTTTTAGGATGGGCGACCACCAAGTCAAGAAAATCTAGGGCTATATACTCAACTGGGAAGTCAAAAAGATGTCCCAGAAGAAAACTGCCATGAATCATTTCTATGACCAGAAAGGCTAATGTCCATGAGGTTGCATTGAGGGAATGGACCTTACTCTACTTTTCAGTCTAGAGGTGTTCCAAAATCGCTTTCATACAATGATTAAAACTAGGCAGTCCCTGCCTGCTAACTTCTAATTTAAAGATATCAGACATAAAGAAAATGAATGAAGAGGGAAGGGAAGAGAAGAGAAGGGAAGGGAAGGGAAGGGAAGAGAAGGGAAAGGCTGTTTTAGGCACTAGTTCTTCAAGCTGAATAATTTACTCCAGGCTTTGGGACCTTTTGGCTGTAAATGGGATGGGATGGGACTGGATGGGACAAGACGGGATGGAGTTCTCACTAGGACCAACTGGAATGGAAACTGTTTAATGAAGCCAAAAACTTGAGAAGCTGTCTTTATACTAGAGCAGCTAGAATGGCTCTGCTCTTTTCACTTTTCTACAGCTCCCTCGTCACAAAATCCTGTTTTTGCATTGGCAGCATGAAAACCATTGTTTAGGAACAACATACATAATTGGAAATAAACAAATGGATGGACAGTGTTGGCAAATCCACTTTCCCCAGATTAGCACCCTGCAACTAGGAGATTTATTGTTCAGAAGGGCTTATCTATAATTCAACAGTTTACAATTGCTGGATAAAATTTGGAAGCACATTCAATCAGATGGTGCAGTTTAATTTCTTGAGAGGGAACAAATGTTTTAATTATAACTAAAACTGGAAGTCCACTATAGGATTGAGTACAGAAAATCTGATTAGGAATTAGGAGTTAGGACTTGGACCATATCTGATATAGAAAACCTTTCAGCTCTCAACTGTTTTCAAATATTTATACTTCCTCTTCCCTCTCTGTGATCCAATCAGACTATTAAGAGCGACTCAAACTCAAGTCCAACATCTTGGATTTTTATCCCCACTTTTGTAACACAACTCTTTCTATTTTGGGGGCAATACAGGTAGTCCTCAACTTACAACCACAACTGAGCCCAACATTTCTGTTGCTAAGTGAAACTGTTGTTAAGTAAATTTTGCCCCATTTCCTTGCCACAGTTGTTAAAGTGAATCATTGCAGTTGTTAAATTAGTAACACGATTGTTAAGTGAATCTGGCTTCCCCATTGACTTTGCTTGTCGGAAGGTCACAAAAGGGGATCACATGACTCTGGGACACTCCAATGGTCATACATGTGGGTCACTTACGAAGTATCTGAAATTTTGATCATGTGACCATGGAGATGCTGCAATGGTTATAAATGTGAAAAACTGTCATAAGTCATTTTTTTCAGTGCCGTTGTAACTTTGAAGGGTCACTAAACAACCTGTTGTAAGTAGAGGACTACCTGTAAGTAAGTAGTATCTAAGTATCTATATATCTAACCTTTATGAACTGGTCTCTTTGTTCAGAAAAACATGATTAGCCAAGCATATCAACAACCTCTCACACCCCCTTTATTTAATTTATATCTGGAAACCAGAAGATATTTCTGAATTTTAGGGTTTAGAATATAACTGTTCTAAGTTTCCGAGAGCATTCAACCATGCGGGTAGCTGCTACACAGAGTGGTCTCTGTTTTCCTGACTGAAATACTTAATAAGGGCCATTACAAGGATTGAGGCATGCAGAGACTGGAAATTATAAGGAAGGATAAACAACTGTTCTTTTGCCACTGAAAAGGCACCATCCCCCTGGGGGAAAATACCAAATCTGGCTTCTTCCATCACTGAGATCATTACAGGGAGTATTTCCTTATGATCTGCTATACAAGAAAGATATTTATTTATTGTTTGTATCCTACCTTTATTGTTTTTACAAATACTGTAACTCAAGTCTGGGAACATATCCAACATACCTTCCTTCTGCTATTTTCCCCATAACAACAATCCTGTGAGGTGGGGTTGGACTGAGGTAGGTTGGACTGAGAGTGATTGGCCCAAGGTCACTCAGCTGGCTTTTATGGCTAAGGCGAGACCAGAATTTATGGACTCTTGCTTTTAGCCTGATTTTTTTTACAGTGAGAACTAGACACGGAACCACTGATTGGTTCAAAATTGGGAAAGGAGTCCGGCAAGGCTGTATTCTGTCGCCCTGCCTATTTAACTTATATGCAGAGCACATCATGAGAAAGGCAGGGCTAAATGAATCAAAAGTTGGAATTAAGATTGCTGGGAGAAATATCAACAACCTAAGATATGCAGATGATACCACTCTAATGGCAGAAAGTGAAGAGGAACTCCTTCTTGATGTGGGTGAAGAAGGAGAGTGCAAAAGTTGGCGTGAAACTCAACATTAAGAAAGCCAAGATCATGGCATCCGGCCCTCTCAATTCCTGGCAAATAGATGGGGAAGAAATGGAGGTAGTGACAGATTTTATCTTCCTAGGCTCCAAGATCACCACAGATGGGACTGCAGACAAGAAATTAAAATACATTTGCTCCTGGGGAGGAAAGCTATGGCAAATCTAGACAGCATACTAAAAAGCAGAGACATCACCATGCCAACAAAAGTATGTATAGTCAAGGCCATGGTTTTCCCAGTTGCAATTTATGGCTGTGAAAGTTGGACCATAAGAAAGGCTGAGTGCAAAAGAATTGAGGACTTTGAACTATGGTGTTGGAGAAGACTCCCGCAAGTCCCCTGGACTGCAAGGTGATCAAAGCAGTCAGTCCTAGAGGAGATCAACCCTGACTGCCTTTTAGAAGGCCAGATCCTGAAGTTGAAACTCAAGTACTTTGGCCACCTAATGAGAAGGAAGGACTCACTGGAGAAGAGCCTAATGCAGGGAAAGATTGAGGGCAATAGAAGAAGGGGACGACAGAGGTGGCTGGATGGAGTCACTGAAGCAGTAGGCGTGAGCTTAAATGGACTCCAGAAGATGGTAGAGGACAGGAAGACCTGGAGGAACATTGTCCATGGGGTCGCAATGGGTCGGACACAACTTTGCAACTAACAACAATTCTTTTCTGTGAACTTTCTCTTCAGGATAGTGTTAAATGAAAAAGGTATTAGTAATTCATTTTTATGCAGTGAAAGATGGATTTTCTGCTTTAACCTTTTTACTATATCTGTTGACTCAATTACTATTATCATTATAATTTTATTTTGGGCCAATTATAAGAATTTTGTATATAAAGTATACAAAAGGCTTGTTGAGTGTGAGAAGGAATATTTGCATATTTGTGCCATGCTCCAGAGTTCTCTGAAAAATATACTTGCGAACTCCAGTGTGGTTTTGTCTCCATCATCCTCCAGCACAACCAAAGGTGCAACCTTTTGGCTCTGTTTCAGATTTCCTGCAGCTTGCTAAGTAATCCAGCCCAAAAGATGATTCACTTAATTCATGACTAGTGGACAACAAACCAAGACATACTTCATTCATTCTTCTTTTCTTTGCCTTTAAGATTAAACAAAATTCATTTCCTCATATTTCTAATCTTAACTTAGATCAACAGCAAATTGCAGTTATGCTTAAATGCAAGCCTATAAAAATTCTGGGTTCTTAATACATTTTTCTGAATGTGTTTTGTCTTCAATTTTGTCCACTATAGACATGTTTGAAAGTAGCTGTATTTGTGCTGAAAATTAATTTCATTTTATTTGAATATTAATGAAAGTTGGTGTTAGCTTCATAACAGAATAATAGAGTTGGAAAGGACCTTGAAGGTCTTATAGTCCAACTCCCTGCTCAAACAAGAGACCCTACAACATTCCAGACAAGTGGCTGTCCAGTCTCATCTTAAAATCATCCAATGATGGAGCTCTCACAACTTTTGAAGGCAAGCCATTCTACTGGTTAGTTGTTCTCACCATTAGGAAATTTCTCCTTAGTTCTAGGTCAGGAGTGTCAAACTGTCGGACCGTGGGCCGGATGCATTATAGAGAAACCACGCCCACCCCATTGTGAGCAATGGCAAAAAAAGTCACGATACGTTGTGACACGCCATGTGACATTGCAAGCTTGACACCCCTGTTCTAGGTTGTTTCTCTCCTTGATTAGTTTCCATGCATTGTTTCTTGTCCTGCCTTCAGGTGCTTTGGAGAATAGCTTGACTCCCTCTTCTTTGTGGCAACTCCTGAGATATTGGAACACTGCTATCATGTCACCCCTAGTCCTTCTTTTTATTAGACTAGACATACCCAGTTCATGATTTAGCAGAATTAAAAGATGAGAATGGACGTGATGAAAATGGTTAGCAGCTAATGTTTTTGTTTGTTTGTTATAGAATCCAGGACTTTGCTTTGCTTGATAATAATGATTACTTGTTTTCTTTCCAGAGCTCTCCCTGCCATGATGCACTGGGTCCAGGCTCAGACACCAGGAGAAAGCGGTATCAACATTGTCACCGCAGACTTTGTAGAACTTGGAGACTTTGTCAGCACAGTCATAAAACTCAACTACAGCTTGGATGAAGGTGAAGCTGATACAACCTGATAGTAACGTAATATGTCTAACATGCCCCAGAGTTGAACTTTTTTTTCCAGTTATTTTAGGTTAGGTTGTAATCTTGTAACCACAGATTTTGCAAGCACATGCTGAACATCATCATTTTCTTTTGAAAGTGTCGAGGGGTTGGACAGAATAGGCAAAAAGGAAACATTTTTATAAGTTGTAATAATTTCCTGACATTGATGCAACTGTATTTCTTGAAACCCAGTCAGGATTGATTATTTAAGTTATCATAATTCAGAAAGCCATTAATATATATTCTGCCAGCAACCAATGTGGTTTTGGCCCTACGTATGATCATTGCTAAGCTTAATTCATTACTGGCACCATTTACTTTCCTGTTTGCAATAAATTCTCATTGCTGTTAGGAATTTTGCTAATGGATGAGAACTGTGTACTATCATATCAAGGTGTAGCATCTGCCAGTGTACTCCATTAATTAATGTTGAATTAATTGAGGGCATCAGCTCAAATGGAAAGGATAGGCCATCAACATTAAAGACTAATCCCAACTTAACAAGTTGTGTTAGTTCCACTGTCTACTGTGTGTATATTTTCTGGAAATTCAGAACACTTTGAATATTTTTTAATTTTTTAAAAAAGGAACATTACATTGTTAATCTAACTTTGTCTTCTTGCACCTTGTGGACAGTCTGCCACTGATTATTTCTAAAAAGGATTAGAGAGCATTGGATAGTTGCATTAGAGTGACACTATAGAATGGCATTAGCAGTAGACAGGGGCCTATTTTTCCCTTTTACTGCATATTTACCCTTTTGAATTATATTTAAACATATTTAGTTTAGTTATTAAACTGAATTATTATTAGTTATTATGGGTCAGCCACCAAGAATCACATAGAAATAAACCATATTTACACAGCTTTCAAAAGAGATAATAAAAAAGCTATGAAAGAAATACAAAAACCACACATCCCTCCAGCAACCAGTATCCAGATAAGCAGGGATTATCACCAAACAAATAATCAAACAGAAAACAATATCCTAATATCCTACCAAGGAGAAAACCACCACCACTCATTAACACTTGGCAGAATAAGCTCTGTATATAAACAGAGAACAAACCCCACTTTCACTTGCACTGATGATGTTACCTAGTTTAGTAATAAAATGTTTGCAAGCAAACAACCAAGCTCATAAAGCACCAAGGACACCACAGTTCTATCCTAAACTGCATATATTCTCTTGTATTTGTAAGACTGTCAAGATACAGACAATAATATAAGGTTGGATCTATATTTAGCCATGCTTACAGAGATTCATTGAAATCGTGAACTGATATGTCACATTGATTTCACTGGATCATCTCTCAGCCTGACTAGGTCTAAATCTACTCAACTATTTTTTTCTTAGAACTCAGTATTTATACCCCCAAGCAGGGCTTTTTTGTCATAGGACACCCAGAACGGAGTTCTGGCACCTTTTTTGGATGGAACCTTATAGGGTAGGCAAGGCAGGTTGTATGACATGTGTGAGTTCCGGCACCTTTTTTTTTTTTAACAAAAAAACACTGCCCCCAAGTATGGATTTTGATAACACATAAAAGCAGCATACATTTCTATTTAATACTCAGAGAAAAATACTTTCCCAGCTTGTTCTAAGCAAAAAATAGAAAAGGATATCTCTTCAAGAGCATAAACAGTATAGTTCAGTGAGCATTAATAATATGAAGCTAATTTTTCATTGTCTGAGTGAAAGAACACTAATGAAAAAAATCTATCTCAAAAACAACTGTAGTACATTACAATAGAAAATTCTTTCACTCACTTGCCTCATAAGGGAATATTCAAATGCTAAGAGATGAAATAGTGAAAGATGTTAATTAGGCGTGAATAACCTGCATCCTCTTTTATATAAATAATAGTTCCCCAAAACAAACTCAGTTGCTATGACCGTAGAAGACTCCAGAATGTTATAGAGCAGGGGTGTCAAACTGCTGGCCTGCGGGCTGGACAAAACCCCACCCACCCTATTGCTGGCAATGGGGAAAAAGTTCTGATACATTGCGCGACGTCACGTGACATCATGAGTTTGATATGTCAGCAACTTTAAGGTGTGTGGACTTCAACTGCCCATGTTGGCTGGGGAATTCTGGGAGTTGAAGTCCACACATCTTTACAGAACAGAAAAACAGAATTGGAAGGGACCTTGGAGGTCTTCTAGTCCAATCCCCTGCTCATGTCTCCTCAAGCAGGAGACCCTACAACATTTCAGACAAATGGTTGTCCAATATCTTTTTAAAAACCTCCAGAGATGGAGCACCCACAACTTCTGAAGGCAAATTGTTCCACTGATTAATTGTTCTAAGTAGTTAGGAAATTTCTCCTTAGTTCTAGGTTGGTTCTCTCCTTGATTAGTTTCTATCCATTGCTTCTCGTCTTGCCTTCAGGTGCCTTGGGAAATAGGTTGACTCCCTCTTCTTTGTGGCAACTGCTGTGTCAAATCACCAATATCAAGCGCTACCGTCTAATATCCACACCCACATTTCTTTCCCTGTTATAACTTCCTACTCTCCAGGATATTATTATCAGAATATTTCCAAGTCATTTCAGCTTTTGATTTTTTTTCTTCTGTTTCTCCTCATGCAATTCTTTATTCTATTTACTACAACTTTCCTTAATCTGGGGCTTTATAATTCCTACCTAGCAAGAATTATGTTGATGAAGTTGCTGATGATGACAATCATGATTAACTTGCTAATAGCAATTGTTTAGTGTCCTGTTAACCTCCTTTGCCCAAGGAATGGATTTCCCTTTCCTTCCTTTTTATTCTGATTTAAATCTTAACATAGGTTAAGAATTCTTTGAAGTCAGTTTTGATCTGCTCCCAGAATAGCTCCCATTAGTGAGATAAAATATTATGAATGTAGGAAATAATTATCCCAATAAACACTTGTAATCATCTGGGTGGCTAAACTATATCATTCAATCTCTATACCCAGCATATTTTACTTAGAACTGATGAATCAAGGATCTTAATTTTGACATTGATCCTTGCTTGAAATGGTTAATGTAAGAAGTCTACAATGCCAAATTCAGGAAGATTTTTTTCCCTGGTTTGTCAATTTTCTTTTTAAAAGTAAAGTCTTTATTTGAATTAAATAAATATAAATATTTTATTCTTAAGGAGCAAATTCACTTTTGACCAAATCTTACAATCGGACCAAATGGGAAAGGGTCTTCAAAACATAGCTTTAATTTCTCCAGGAATATCTGACTACTTTGTTTGAAAAGAGGTATTAGACAACCTGGCAGAACTACTTTTGTAAATGTATGCACACAGCTGAGAGCAAATTAGTACCACCTTCTTTGTATTCACATTCAAAGCTTTCCTTTGAAGAATAACATTTGACTGTCCTTGGTGAGGGCATGTTATTAGTTTGGGTTATCTTTAGACCAGAAGTCCCCAACCTACGGACTAGGGCCTACTACTGGGCTGTGGCCTATTGGCCACTGGCCACATGAGTGGCTGGCCAGTGTGCATGTGTGTGCGCATGTGCACAGGCCTACTCATGCAAGCAAGCCCACAAGCATCACGGGCATTTGCAGCCCCACTCGCCCGAGCATCATGGGCATTTGCGGCCCCATTTACGCAAGCAGTGGGTGCTCATACACGCGCATGCATGCGTTCACCCACACACAAACTCATCCCTTCTTTTCCCCCTTTCCCCCGCTCCAGGCTGCCAACCCCAAAAGGTTGGGGAACTCTGCTTTAGATGATCCATGACAAGGGAAGATGGAAATTCACATCTGAAGGACTCTAATTTGAGGAATCTTACAACATTATTCCCTTCGGACATTAATGCTAACACCATGTGTAGTCATCTAAAGTGCAAAAGTCTATGAGTCCCATTCCCATAGAAAGTTTGAATTCCAGAATAACATTTAGCTACCTTCACCTGAAGAGTGTCAAAAAGACTAAACAAATCACATGGTGTTGCCTGGTATTCCATGTACCAAACCTTATATAACAGATGCCAGTGTCAAAATGTATACAATGTTCCTTCTCCACAGTTCTCTTCTGGATATGAAGTGTGTTATGACCTGAGCCTGCAAAAGCAGGCTCGGGATGTTGCATTGGTCCCAGACATTCCAAAAGCTGCCTGGGACTAGACTGAGTGGCACCAGCCTTGCGCGCATGCGCAGGGCACGAAACGCTCCGCTAATTGTTGCCATTGTGTCCAGGTCTATGGTCAGATAAGAGAGAACCCTGTGTGCCGTTTGTGTTGTTGGGGTGTTGCTGTTAACGAATAAAGAGCTGTTAACTACACAATGAGTCTTCATCATTCGCCCACGATCAAAGGACTTAACACTGGCAATGAAGGTGGGATGCTTTACAAGCTGAAGAAAAGAAAGCTTTAAAGACTTACCCAAGAAGTCCTGAAGAGGAGAAGACGGCATTGGAATCAGCGTCCCAGCCTGCCAGTATAGCGTCGCTGGAGGGTGAGTTCGGCTGAAAGACCCTTTCCCCAATAGAAGTTGCAGAGGAGTGAGTGGTGAAGACTGTAAACTACAGGATGGAGAAGATTGGTCGTTTATCCGAATTTGATGTCTCACACCCAGAGAAATGGGAATCCTACGTTGCAAGGGTGGAGAATTACTTCAGGGAAAACCAGATTAGAGAAGATGGCTTGAAGGCTGCAACCATGTTGTGTGTCTGTGGACAGGAAGGTTTGGAAATTGCAGAGAACTTGGTGGCCCCTGCACCTCTGGAGTCAGTAATGTATACTGACTTGAAGAAACTGCTGAAGGAACATTTCTAGCCCAAGTTGTCTGTTATTGCCTAGAGGCACACGTTTAAGCAAAAGGACCAGAGGGCAGGTGAATCTGTTAAGGATTTTATTGCGGCCTTAAGGCCAGCAGCCAGACCGTGTGAGTTCAAGGATCTGGAAGAGAGGCTGTGAGATTGCTTTGTATGCGGTTTAAGGAACAGAGACTTACAGCAGAAGATTTTTGGAAAAGAAGATGTCTCTTTCCAAGATGCTCTACGAGAGGTGACAGCTGAGGAAGCAGCAGGCGGGGCAGTAAAGACTTTGCGGCCCACCAGGAGCCCTCCAGGGGCAGCCACCATCCATCAAGAGGACGCTTGAGAATGTTCAGAAGCAGATCATGAAGAAGAGGTGGATAAGCTTTACCAGACAACTGAAAGGAGGCAGAAGGAATGTCCAGACAAGGCCCCAGCACCTCTTCAATGCTTCGGGTGTGGAGGACACCACAAGCGAGCTGACTGCAGGTTCCGCTCTGCCATTTGCAGACTGTATGGCAGGCAAGGCCACATTGTATCCGTCTGTTTGGGTTGCCAGAAGGTCCAACCTCGTGAAGAATTGCGTCTGAAAGGTACCAGGGTCCCCAGCTAACATAAGGTGGGTTTCTGCGCATCGCGCAGGAGTATTTTAAGGACAAGCACACATAAACCCCTAAAGAAGAAACTGTCCATTAAAGTAAGGTTGCAAGGGGTTCCTTTATCCATGGAGTTGGACACTGGGTCCGCTCTCTCCATTACTTCCATTAACACATTCAAAAGGATTTGCAACAGCAGTAGCCTTCGAGCCAAACTCAGGCCATCCAATATAATACTCACAGATTTTCAGAATTCTATGGTGTGTGTTAAGGGGGAGGCCACCCTTAAGGTACAGCATAAGAATTTTGAAGGTCCCCTAGATGTGGTGGTTGTTGGGGGTGAATGCACGAGTCTTATTGGACTCGATTGGTTCGAGGCTCTGGGAATCCAGGTCACTGGGCTGCACCATTTGCAAACATTGAGCCTGGCAGAAGTCTGCAAGGAGTTTGCAGATGTGTTTAGTTCAGAGCTTGGATCCTATAAGGGTCCAATCCTCCAGTTTCGCTACGGTTAGACCCAACCATCATGCCCATCAGGGTTAAGCCTAGGAGGGTACCTTTTGCCCTCAAAGGCGAGATTGATGCCGACAAATTGCTCCAGCAGGACATTTTAGAACCTGTAGACTCAAGTCCATGGGAAACCCCCATAGTAACGCCTCTAAAGGCTAATGGGGACATACACATATGTGCAGACTACAAGTGTACACTGAACAAGGCGCTGCAGCAGCACGCTTATCCAGTGCCTGCGGTAAGTCACATCCTGGCCTCCCTCAAAGGGGGGTGCATTTTTGCGAAGCTTGACCTGGCACAGGCCTATCAACAGCTACCTGTTGATGAGGCAGCTGCTGAGGCCCAGACTATTGTAACTCACAGAGGGGTCTTCAACGTCAAGAGACTGCAATTTGGGGTAAATATAGCCCCTGGCATATTCCAGAGTGTCATGGAGAGCACACTTTGGGGTATTCCTGGGGTCTGTTCCTATTTTGATGATGTCCTCATTGCTGGAGAGTCATCTCAAAATTAAGCAGAGAGATTAAGGGCTATCTTGCTTCGTTTTCAAAAAGCAGGTCTTAAACTAAAGAAGGATAAATGTAAGATAGGAGTCACTTCCACTGACTTCTTAGGATTCAGGATAGATACTCAAGACATTCACCCTGCTGAAACTAAATTGCAAGCTATTCATCAGGCCCCAAGCCCTAAATCTAAGAGTGAGCTACAAGCCTTTTTGGGGCTATTAAATTTTTATCATGCCTTTCTCCCACATAAGGCTGCTGTGGCAGAGCCTTTACACAGGCTCTTGGACAAGCAGGCTCCTTGGCAGTGGACTAAAGTCCATTACAAGAGTTTCAATGAGGTTAAGGCCTTGCTCACATCTAATGCTGTTTTAGCACATTTCAATGAGCAACTGCCTGTTTGTATCGCCTGCGATGCATCTCCTTATGAGGTGGGAGCTGTACTTAGCCATCTGAAGGCTGATGGGACACAGGTCCCTGTGGCCTATTATTCAAGGACTCTGTCTTCTGCAGAGCGTAATTACGCTCAAATTGACAGAGAAGCATTGGCTATATTGGCTGGCATTAAGAAATTTCATGATTTCTTATATCGCCGCCATTTCACGGTCTATACTGACCATAAGCCTCTGCTGAGGTTGTTTACCACTAACAAACAGACCCCACATATCATTTCTCCTCATATGCTGAGATGGTCCATTTTCCTGTCAGCATATGACTATACATTGGTTCACAAACCAGGAAAAGAAATGGGTCAGGCCGATGGCCTGAGCAGATTGCCCTTGAACCAATTGGAGCCTGATCCTGCTCCAGCTGTGAATATCCTGTCCATTCAGAAATTGCCTGAGTCTCCCCTCAATGCTAGGGATGTGGCTGCAGAAACTGCCACTGATCACACGCTTACATGCATGCTGACATGGGTGTTGTCAGGTTGGCCTGACAAGTGCCCAGATACTGAGTTCCAAAGCTTCTGGCACAAGAAGCATGAGTTTTCCACTTTCAAGGGATGCCTGTTATGGGGTAGCAGGGTAGTGATCCCAACCTCACTGAGGTCTAGAATCTTGGTCTCTCTTCATGAAGGCATAGTCAGGATGAAAGTGCTTGCATGCAGCCATCTTTGGTGGCCTGGACTCGATAAAGCCATCGAGGCCCAGGTGCACAGGTGCCAAGTGTGCCAACAGTCTCGGCCTGAAATGCCTCAGGCCCCAGTACATAGGTGGGAGGAAACTCAAACCCCATGGAGCCGAGGTAGCACAGCAGTTAGAGTGCAGTACTGCAGGCCTCTTTAGCTGACTGTGTTCAGCAGGTCAGCAGTTCAAATCTCACCGGCTCAAGATTGACTCAGCCTTCCATCCTTCTGGGGTAGGTAAAATGAGGACCCAGATTGTTGGGGGCAATGTAAATATATATAGACATTGCTTACTGGTGTACACTGCTTAGAGAGTGTTTGCACTTAAAGCGGTATATAAGTCTCATAAATAAATAAATAAATAAATAAATGGTCTGGGGTGTATATAGATTATGCTGGGCCCTTTCAGGGGCAATTCTTCCTGGTTGTTGTTGATAGCCATTCCAAGTGGCTAGAGGTTGTTCCTGTATCCTCCACTACTACTGCCAGGACCATCCAGGTGTTGAGAGGAATTTTTGCATCACACGGCCTTCCAGATGTTCTGGTTTCCGATAATGGTCTCAATTTACCTCTTCTGAGTTCCAGCTTTTCTTCAGGCCAACCTGATCCGCCATGCGACTTCGGCTCCCTTCCATCCATCCTCCAACAGATTGGCAGAGAGAATGGTGCGCACCACCAAAGATGCTCTCAAGAAACTGACTTACAGTAACTGGCATCACAGGTTAGCAGATTTCCTTCTTGCACACCGCACCACACCATACACTGCCACAGGAAAGAGCCCTGTTGAACTCCACTGGGGTTGCCGCCTCATCACTAAACTGAACAGGTTGCACCCCGACCGGGTGGCTTCACAGGTGTCAGGACTGTGGGCACCTAGGAGACTCCAAGTGGGCAATCCGGTCTGGGCATGGAACTATGAGCCTGGTCATCTCTGGGTCACAGCTGTGGTCTACAAGGTCTGTGGACCACTTTCATATAAAGTAGCCTTGGGAGATGGCCGCGTTCTTCGCAGACACATTGACCAACTGCGTTGGAGACTGGACTCTCACCCTTTCGCTCCTGGCTCTGCTCTGGGGGAGGAGGAGGACCATAATATGCATTCTGAGGTTCAGTTTTACAGGCCATCATTAGCCGCTACTGAGGTTCCATAAGTACTCCAGACACCGGGGGTATCAACATTATTCACACATGTCACAGAGTGCTCCAGACAGGGAGACTGACCGGGGGTATCCACAAACAACAAGAGAACAAGAATTATAGCAAGGGCGCTGGCCCAATTCTACAATTGCTCCCAGAAGGAGGTCAACAGGGAAGGGGTAGCCAGGGAGGCGACTCCTGACTCTGGCACTTCTGGCATGTGCTTGGGGGCCACAGAGTACTGGGGCACTTCAGCTACCCAGCACTCTCCATCTGCTGGCTTTGGGTTCGAGGGACAGTGTTCCCAAGAAGGGTCCATTGTGGATCCGGGGACTACCACCCCTCCAAGGTATACTGGCCTGGACTTAGGGGGTCCAGTCAGCCAGCAGATGGGCGGGTCAACTGGGTATTTGGGGCAGCAAAGTTCTGGCCTACTGAGCCTGGTATGCGACAGGTAGGCCAGGCAACAGCACCAGGGTCACCTGGGAATTTAGGGCAGCAAGACCTTGGCCCACCTAGCCTGGTAGGTGAGCAGGTGGGCCAAGCAAATATCTCCTGGTCTGAGAAGGTTGCAGCGGGCCAAGTGCCCACCCAAATATATTAGGGAATTTGTGAAGTTGCTGTCAAGTTCAAAAGGGAACTATTCATATGGGCCCTGAATAAAGGGGCATGATCATTTTGTATTATTTTCTGATTTCGGATACATTTATTCCCAAAACGAAGTGGAGGGGGTTTTGCCTGAGGGTAGCCTCTAATATTCCACATTCTGTGCATTTGATTTATGGAACTATATATAATTTCCCCTAGGTAGGATGTACATGAATGTGCGCAGAGATCTAGGGGGGAGGGGTGTTGTGTCCTGAGCCTTCAAAAGCAGGCTCGGGACGTTGCATTGGTCCCGGGCATTCCAAAAGCTGCCTGGGACTAGACTGAGTGGCGCCAGCCTTGCGCGCATGCCATTGTGTCCGAGTCTCTGGTCAGATAAGAGAGAGGCCTGCGTGCTGTTTGTGTTGTTGGGGTGTTGCTGTTAACGAATAAAGAGCTGTTAACTACACAATGAGTCTTCATCATTTGCCCACGATCAAAGGACTTAACAAAGTGGATTTGGGGAAGGGCTGTCCAAATTGTCAATGTTTCAGTTGACATGACTCTAGTACCTTCACATAGTCTTTCACAGATGGATACTTAGATCTCTAGAATACAGCCTACAGTCAAGGTCACTGCAAGGAGTTAATGTTGAATAGTCATAAAAGAAGAATGTATAGTGTGTGTGTGTG